ACAGCTGCCCCACATCTGGTGCTGGACCTGCTTACGTAAGCAGGATTGAGGTGCTTACATCTGGAATCTGCGTCCCACCTGAGTCCTCGGGGGCCCAGTGTCCGGCTACTGCCCAGTCACTGGGTTCTGGTGAACTCCCCTCCTGGGCTGTCCCCAGCATCCTGTGACTGGGGCCCCAGATGGCCTCCAGGAGGCAGGTGCTGATCACAGCTCAACAGATGGGGCCAGTCCAGCCGTCACAGGCGATGGGGTGAGGACAGCAGCCCCCTAGCCCGTCTCCTCCAACCAGCATTGCCGTCTGGCTGGACCTCTGCAGCACCGTTCAGTTAGGCACTTGGTCTGTGCTGGGCTGAGCGTCACTCAATTATTCATTCAATTCTCCCAGGCACCTCGGGTCCCAGGCACCTTGGGACCCGGGCACTGTCTAGGCAGGAAGAACGAGGACCGCCAGGCTGGGCTCCAACCTGCCAGCCACACCTCTGACCGATGGGTCTGGAGAGGTGGGAGTTTGACCATCATAAGAGGAGTGATTCCTTGAGGGGCATGGAGTGGGGGCACTCTCTCCACCCAGATGTTGCTCCTGGGGGAGGGCCTGCACTTTCCTGCCCCACCGCTGCCTGGCACCTGGAGCCTGAAGGTTCCAAAGAATCGGGAGAGCAGGGGTGGGGCAGCACAGACCACCCCCACACCACCTCAGGGCCAGTGTTCTCCCAGGATCACAGGGGACGCTGTGGGTGCCCCCCGGTGCTCAGCCTGTGCTGTCCCTGGGAGGACAAGTCTGAGGCCGGGAGGCCTGTGGAGGGTACCCCCACTCCCAGGGACCACACTCCAGGGGGCTCCCAAGTCAGCCCAGGCAAGTTGTCCTCGGGGATCCCCAGGCTCCCCGTGGCCACTGTGTCAGGGAAGTCCTTCCTACTTCTGTGCCCAGAGGGGTCCCCGGGCTGTGAGCAGAGGGGAACCCATGGGAGGTACCAAGGGAGACCCAGTTCTGGACATGCCTCTGGGTCCCCCACAAGCTACCAGGGCCCACAGAGGATCTGGGGGCATCAGCAGGCCCCTGCAAAGTGTTTGCCTAAGACCCCCAGAACCCCTATAAGGCAGGTGTCTGGGCTCCAGGGGCCAAGGGTCCCTCACCCACGGGAGACCTGCCACCCAAATCCCTCCAAGTGGGACCAGGGCTAACGACTCCATTCCCCAAGGGCCCCTGGGCACAAAATCCGGGTTCTCACTAATTTACTCAGAACCAACCAAGATCAAACCTGTGCTTGGACCCCCCCCCCGGAAAATGAGATTCGCATATTTGCTGATTTGTCTCTGGAGTCGGAAAGAGCAGGACCCAGCAGGACCCGGGTGGGAAGCAGCTAGGCCTGGCTCAGTGCCTGGGGCCTGGGGGCCAAGGGGGGCCACGGTCATGGTCCAGGGACAGTCGGGGCTGCTGGGACGTTTGCCGAGGACAGTCAGACGCAGGTCCTGGGCAGAAGGCCGTCGTGTTGCCATGCTCCAGGTAAGCTTTAATAAGACAAGCAGTGACACTGCCTCGCAGGCCCTTTCCCACCTGGGGCAGGTCCCCCGGAGGCAGCTCCTTCCAAGACCGTCCCACAGGGGACCACACCTCAGGGAGTCCCACAGAGAGGCAGGCACAGCCCCAGTGAGCTGTCCGCAGACGCTGCCCGTGTCCTGCAGATGCCTGGGCCACGCCCGGCCTCTGGCCCCTAGATCATGCCGGCCAGCCAGGGCGGCAGGAAGAGGCCAGCAGTCCCCAGCAGACAGACGATGACGAACACCCAGAGGAAGATGCGGTCGATGACCATGGCCACATACTTCCAATCCTCCTTCACCTGTGGAGAGACACACCCAGTCACTCCAGGCTGCAGTGAGAAGCTTCTAGAACCTGCTTCTATCCTTGCCACCAAGGTCACCAGGGTTGCAGGCACACCTGTGTGAGCTGATGGGTGGGGAGGGGGCACAGAGAAATGATGTGTCCAGATGAAGTCTGGCTTCAGAAACACTCTGGGCTGCAGGAGTCAACACCCTCCACAGGGGGCGGGCAGCAGGGCCACCGTGGGAGACAGGGGTCCGGCATCATGGCCCCACTTGACCTCACCTGCCTGACAGGTGTCAACTCCAGGGAGGTAGCCATGGGAGTGCCTCTGGAGGAACACCAGGATGTTTCATGGTGAGATGCACTCTGGGTTTGCTAGAGCCGGGCACCGTGGAGACCATGAGCACACCCCCACGTGCAGATGGGGCAGGTGACAAGGGCGCCCACATCCCCTGGCTGTGCAGGTACATCCTGGGTAACAGGCCTGACCTCTCACAAGAGCCCCAGCGTGGGCTCCGTGGGGGGCAGCGTCCGGCAAGAGACAGCTGAGGCCTGACTGCCCCCTACTTGCCCCACTGCTGCAGGGGCAGCACTCGGGCAGGCTGCTCATGTGGCCCGAGGCCCCTCATGGCTTAGTGGGGTCTCTCAGCTCTGCTCCTAAAGCCCCTTGAGGGTGAGGGTCACACGTGAGAGCCACACAGCCCTGTGCTGGGAGCAGGTTCTGAGCTGGAGCTGCCGGGGGAGGGTCCACAGAGGGGCAAGGGAGGGGCCCCCGGGCTACAGTGGGAGCCGGCACTGAGGCCAGGGTGGGGAGGGGCACTGGGAGCACATGTGAAACATGATGACCGTGTTACCTGCAGTTGCTCCCTTGGACACAATGAGGAAGGTGGCCTCACTGTCCTGCCTACAGATGGGGACACTGGGGTCCAGAGCGGTGCTGGACACTGTTACGTGTCTACGCTGGGGGAGCGGGTCCTGGTCTCCCCCTGGGGAGCCCCAGGACAAAGGCTTAGGGAGGTCAAGGTGGCTTGGCCAGGCCACAGGCGGGTCCTGGGTGGGCAGCTGTTGGCACTTGAATGACCAGAAAGGACGCAGCCCCCTGGCTTGGGCCAGCCGGACACTGATGAGTCAGACTGGCTTGGGGACCGGCAGGCCCAGCTCTCCCATTTTAGGGGCATCGAGGGAGAGGACTGTTCGCTGCTGTTTTCTGCCCTGATTTTTTAAAGTAATCAGAGACATCATGGTGGTTTTAAGCCAAAGCTGAAAGGGCCGTGTTTGTTCTCAAGAACGAGAGCAAACGGGGTCACTTATAAGGGAGCGAGCGCCGGGACCCTCTGTTCCAGGAAGCAGCCCCGCGGCGTCTCCTCAGCTCTGCCTTTCAAACCTCCCCTCTGAGAATGAGCGGCTCGCAGACAAAGCTGCGCCGCCCTGATCCCAGGTGGGCTCTTGTGAAGTCCACATCGCTCCCCGGAGCCCGGCAACAACACGAGGAACCAGAACCGGGTCGCGACTGCCAGGCCACCATGAGGGTGGAGGGGTCTGGGGGCGAGGAGCCGGCCCTGTGCTGAGGACCACTGGCTCCTCCAGGATCCTGGTGGCACCGCAAAGGCGTCGTCTCTGCTCAGCAGCCCCCGAGGCCTGCACGTCAGAGTCAGAGCTCTCCCGGTTTCTGAGCTGGCAGTAAAGCAGCCCCAGAGCCCGAGTCTCCAGGAGGAACCTTCCAGGAACCCCCTGGGCTTCAGGGGGCGACTGGGAGACCGGCTCACTGCTGGGGGGCTCAGCTACAGGACACACAGTCCCCAGGATCACCGGGCCCAGTAAGCACTCACGGGCTGGTCTCCGAGGCGGCAAAGGGACCAGGGTGGGGGAAGGGACAGCAGTGTCACACCCACCAGGGGCCCATGTCACAGGGCAGGAGGAGGCGGACGCGGGGCGAGGTTGGTGCACCACGACCAATGCTCAGGCTGAGCAGCCAGCACTGACCACGCAGACTGACCAGTGCCCACCCCACCCGCCTGAGTGCTGCCCTGCCCTCCCCCTCCGCCGGCTGTGCCCTGAACTGAGGCTCAGCCAGCAGCCTGGACTCACCCTCGCAGGCACCCCGAGACGTGGCTGGCACAGCCTGGGCCTCGGGGTCTCGGAGCCTAGGCCGCATCTGAGCACCCCCCTCACACGCCCACCTGGATCCCACACTCCCTCTCCCCAGCTTGGTTCGGAGGGGTGTGGGGTGCTGGCCAGAGGGACAGGTCCCAGGCCTGAACCCTCCTCTCCTTCCGCCGAGCCACAGAGGCTGCTCAATCCCATGCCATCTCCTCTCACCCCAACCCCAGACACCTCCAAGTCCCTCCCCAGGGGCCCATGGGGCAGGGCACTCAGCAAGGCCAGACGGAGGTGCTCACCAGGTACAGATGGGGCTGGGGGCCCCCACCCCTGCCTGCAGCTTCCCTGCACCCTGAAGCCTGAAGGGAACACCCCGAGAGGCACTCTGCTCTCTGCCAGCCACTGGGCACTGCAGGGACCCCCAGCAGGCATCAGAGGCTCAGGGAGGAGGGAACAGGCAACCCAGGGCCCCCAGGTTGAGCAGCCGGGTCTGGGCCCCGGATTCTGGGATTTTCCCAGCCACTCCCTCCTCTGGAGTGGACAGGGCATCGGGGGCCCTTCCAACACAGCTGTGCCAGGAACTTACCGAGAAGTCCGTATCTTCTGCCTTCAGGTGGTCTGCGATGTACTGGACACCCTCGACCGCCCGCATCAGGGCTGGCGACAGGGGTGGGGGCGGGGGCGGCACTCTAGTGCTGGGGGCCTTGAGTGTGGCTTTTGGGGTCCCCGCCGGCTCCTTCCTGCACTTGCATTTGCAGGGGGAGGCCTGGTCTGGGGGCAGGAGCTTGGCTGAGGGGGTCTTTGAGGGGGCCTTTGTCACAGAGATGGGGGAGCTGTCCACCAGGCGGTCGCCCCGGGAGACGGCATCCTCTAGGGGAACACAGTACTGGATGCTCCGAGACCGGCACCGTATGCCGCCCTCTGCTGCTTCGTTGGGGCTGGACATGTGCTGGACGCTCAGGGACCTGGCCTTGATGAGCCCTGGGGCCTGGGTGCTGGTGGGTGGGCGGCAGGGCCGAGGCGAAGGGCAGGGGCTAGCTGTCCCAGCCTCTGAAGGCTGCAGAGTGGGGACCTGGTCCGAGGGCGACTGGCAGGCCGGCTGGGGCTTGACTGGCTGGTCTGGGCCACAAGACGGGGAGGGGGAGGGGCCCCTGCTTTCGAGGTGGGCCTGCCCTTGGGGCTCCGGCCAGAAGCGTGGGGCACTGGCCGCCTTGTGCATGGACTCAATGAGCCGCCGGCAGTTGTCCTTGACCACGGATGGCCGCTTCATGAGGAGCAGGCGCGGCACGACGTCCAGGAAAATGCGGCGGACCCAGGCGGGCATGGTGTGCGTGCGCGGGGAGCGGTGGTGCACGTTGAGCACGAAGACCGTGATGACGATGGAGAGTGTGACGAAGATCATGGTGAAGAGCAGGTACTCGCCGATGAGCGGGATGACCAGCGAGGTGGACGGGATGATCTCGGTGATGAGCAGCAGGAAGACGGTGAGCGAGAGCAGCACGGAGATGCAGAGCGTGATCTTCTCACCGCACTCGGACGGCAGGTAGAAGACGAGCACGGTGAGGCAGGAGATGAGCAGGCAGGGGATAATGAGGTTGACCGTGTAGAAGAGCGGCAGGCGGCGGATGACGAAGTAGTAGGTCACGTCCGCGTAGACCTCCGCACAGCAGTCATACTTCTTGGTGTTGTAGGTGCCGGCGGCGTTGACGATGGCCCACTCGCCGCTCTCCCAGTAGTCCTTCAGGTCCACCATCTGCTCCGTCTGCACCAGGTCGATCTTGGCCTTGTCGTACGACCAGGAGCCGAACTTCATCTTGCAGTTCTGCTGGTCGAAGGGGAAGAAGGTGACGTCGATGCTGCAGGAGCTCTTGTAGATGGCGGGCGGCGCCCATTGCACCCGCCCGTCGTGGAAGAGGTGGGCCTTGGTCAGGTGGGTGACAGCAAAGTCCCCGTCCGCGCTGGGTAGGAGAGAGAGCGTGGTGAGACATCCCCGCCTGCCGCAAGTGCACCCCCACCTCCCGGTGGCTCTGCCGGGGGTGGGGTGGGGCTGGGCTGGGCCTGCGGCCCACCTCGGCTGTCACCCCTGCGCCGGGGCCGACATACGGCGGGGACTGTCTCCGCCATCCACACCATACTCGACACCCACGCTTGCTGCTGGTGATGACAGTGGTCATCTGGGCTGAAGCAGCCATGTCGAGAGCTCCAGACGCACAAGTGGCCCCCGGGCAGCACTCAGAATGCCTCATCCCCTGCGGTCACTCGGGGCTGGGCCAAAGTTGGAGTGAGACCTATCTGGCCACCTTCTCCTGCTTCAGACCGTGCGTGCCAGTGACGCTGAGCACTCAGCGCCTTCCCCCACTGACCCTTCCCTGAACCTGAGGCAGGAAGGACCCCCCTTCCTGCACAGGTGAGAACTCTGGGGCCCGACAAGGCAAAGACCAGGCCAGGACTCCTGAGTGGGACATGGACACCACCCATCACATTCCAGGCCGTCAGCCCTCCTGCCTCCCCCTCAGCCCGGGGGCCTTGTCCACAGGCCGGGGTGGGCGGCAGGGTGAGGGGTGCTGTCCCCGGCCCTCCTGCTGCGGGCAGAACACCCAGCCCGCAGCCCTGGTGCTGGGCCTCCCTGACAGTGCCATCCACCTCAGTTTTCTTCACCAAAGATGTCCACAGAGGGGAGGGCCACAGCACAATGAGAGGGGAGGCAGCCAGCCTGTGGGGACACAGGGACACCCACACACAGCTCCCCAAGAGTCCCGTTTGCTCCAGAAGGGGGCCACTCTCTCCTTTGCACTGGATGCGCCTGGCCCCCAGTCTGGGTCCTGAGTGGGTGTAACCTGGACCTTGGGGGGCGGGGAGGGGCACTCTGTCAGCCTCAGTTTCCCCATAAAGACTGAGCTGTCCACTCCGGGTGTGGTGCCCACAGACACACGGAGGCGACAGCCATCCCCCTGCCAGCTTCGGCTCTGAAACGTGGCCTGGAGACCTCCTCTCGTCCCCCCAGGACATCCCCGCAGACAGCTGGTCCCAGGACTGAGGCACTGGACGCTGGTCATCACGCTTCTTTGTCTCCACGACATGTGCTGAGGGTGCATCTGGCCCCAGGAGGTCCTCAGAAGGGCCCGGAGCTGGCCTTTCGCTCTGTACTAGGGAGCCAGCCGCCTGGCAGAGCCCCAGGAAGGAGCAGCTCTCCCCGAGGGATGTTGTCACCACCGCATCAGTCCTCGTTCCTCTTCCCGCAGCTGCTTCTACCATGCCAGCGGAGACAAAGCACCTCTCCACACTGCCTGGTCCCACATCCCACTCCCAGCAGGGCTGTGCCCCCGGAAAGCCCAGGGGGCGTGGACGTCAGGATGGAACGGCCCGACTGTGAGCCTGTTCCGGACCTACCACAGGAGCTGTGGCCAGCACGGGCGGGAAAGGAGGACCCGGTCCTGGGCAGCCCAGGTTCCTGCTCCAGAGATGCCCATCCACATAAGATCCCCAGCCCGAGGGGCCAACGTAGGGGAGCCCCCCAGTGGACAGCACGGCCTCTGGCCTGACTTAGCCCAGGATGCTAGGTCCTGGGGCACGGGGAGCTGGGGGAGCTGAGTGTGAACCCCAGGGGGACGGGGCAGGGGGAACTGGAGGACTCCAGGGTTCAGGGTCGGCCCAGGCGGCCTGCAGAGGGAGCACAGAGAGCCTGCCCCACCTTCCACTCACCGAGCTGGGCCCCCTTCGCGCCTTCGTGCTGCCCCACAAACCGTCCCCCTCGCACGCGGCTGCTCTTCCTGCTGCCATGGCTGGAATCAATTAAGTTGGGAAGGAGCCCAATCGTTCTTAATCAAACAGCAGCGTTTTGTAGGTCAGGTCTGACCCTGGGGGCCTGAGAGGGGCTTTGTGCAGGGCTTTGCAGGGTCTTGGTGGGGGCAGCGGGCTGTGGGCAGATGGCTGGGACCGGAGGGAACCAAGGGCTTCCATTTGCTTTATTTGTATGTGCGGTGCAAGCCGCCAAGGCCTGGGCCGGGCCTGAATCTGCCGGTGTGGATTCAGCTCAGAGGAGCTGTCCCAGCGATGACACAGCAGAGACACGGGGACACAGGGGGACGTCAGGCGGCCCTGAGGTCAGGGACCCCATGAGGGTCCCGGGGAAGGACAAGGTCAAGGGTGCCAGCCGGGCGAGCCCACCGTCTGCTACGGCCATGCCCATGAAACCCTGGCTCCCCAGCGCAGAAACATCCCCCAGACGACCAGATTTCAGCTCAGCTTCCCCGGAGCTGGGGACACACGCATGGCCCAGACAGAGGCTGTTTGCTGAGTGCGATGAGCCGGGGTTTGGGGACTTCTGGTGACGTCTGTGCAGGGAGGGTGCAAGCAGCAGCGGAGGGGTGGCGGAAGGACTGGGGGCAGTGCGCCAGGAGGGGCAGCCATGCTGGGGGCTCCCTCTCTCCTTTCTGGAGCTCCTGCACCTCCCGACCTGTGTTCCAGGACTCAGTGAGGGGTGTGTGCACGGGGCCATCTTGCCAGCCAGGCAGTGATGCCGAAACCAACTCCAGCCCGAAGGGCAGCATCTGCGGGGCCTGTAGTCAGCCAGGGAGGGGCTCAGATCCCTTCTCCCCAGAAAGCGACGGAGGCCCCGGGCTGGCCTGGGCCGGGACGGAGCCCCAGGCGCCCACGCTGCCCTTGAGCCCCGTCTCCTCCCTAGCGTGCCTGCCGATGGGCCACCCCTGCCCCCAACACCTTCCTTCGCTCCCTCTTCCTCCTCTGGAGCCTGACCTCAGCCTTGGCTCAAGGCAGGGCCCAAACATGCTGCCGGCCTCTTGCTCACACCGGCCTTGGTGGACCTGCCCTACGGGAGACTGGCACTGGCCACCCGCACTCCCTAAGGCCCCCAGCTCACTTGTTGTACAGGACGATGTCCGGCCTCCAGATGAGCTCAGAGGGGATGCGGATGGAGGTCACGTTCTCATAGTCGGCAGGGTCCCAGCGCAGCTTATAGTCATGCCACTCCTGGGGGAGGGGGGAGAGCCTGGGCAGTGACGGGGAGGGGTGGGAGCGGGGGGAGGGGAGGGGCAGGGATGGGGGAGAGAGGTGGGGGAGAGGAGAGGGCAGGGCGTGGGGCCCCCTCACTCACCTGCTTTACCCACACGTTCGTTGTCATCATCTGGTTCTTCTCATCCTAGGACACGAAGGAGAAGGGAGGTGGTGATCCCTTGGGGACAGATGGGGCACATCTCTCTGGCCAAGTTTCCACACCCACAAGGACAGTCCATGGCTGAATGTGGGGAGTGGACGACCTTGGGAAGGAGTGAGGGCCTCGTCTCTGGAGACAAGCAAGCCCAGGATGGCAGGTCCTGAGGGGACTTGGGACTGTGAGGACAAGGCCCCCTGAAACCTTTCCAGAAGGAAAGCGAGCACTTCCCAGGCACTAGCGCTGCCCTGCCCACCTGCAGCACTCCGTCCCAACTGGGGGCAGGTGCTGTGAGCCCCGCCTGCACAAAGCTCCTCCCACTCGCCAGTGGTCCAGGCTTTTCCCTCATCCGCCCCAGACCAGGCACACACAGGCCATTGGAGGACTGCTTAGGCCAAAGAACCCAAGGATGGTCAAGCAAGAAAAGTGCCCAGCACCTAGACTAGGGTTGGGGGTGGGGGCTTGCACCCAAAGGTACAGGCCTGGGAGCCTCTCCCTCATGCCCCCAGTCAGCCAGGTCAGGCAGGGACCACTGCCCTTGGTCCTCCTCTCCCTTGGGGCTGTCTGAGACAGGCCACCCAGAGGATGCTGAGGATCTGTGTGACCTGAGCAGGGCCCAGACACGACGTCCAAGGACCCAGGCTGTGCAGCCCTGCAGAGTGGCCCGCACCACCACGGCCCTGCCCTTCCCTCTGGAGGCAGCCTGCCCTGCCCTGCCCTGCCCATCTCCCGCCCCCAGGCTCAGAACAAGCTTCAAGGTGGCAGGGCCTGGCCTCCTTCCCCGAATGTCAGCCCGTCCTATGCAGCTGTTCCCCAAGGCACCCGTGTGAAGTGCCCTCTGGTATGTTCAGGCGCATGAAACATCAGCCCAGGGCCCCAGAGCGCTGGGGATCCCAGCCTCCCCTGCAGGCGTGAACTCACACAAGCGCTCGCCACTGGACCTGCAGCAAATACCTTAGCGGACAGAAAGCAGCCTAGTGGGAGGCACCCCCTTCTGCAAACAGCCGGCACACGTGTGAGCAGGCATATCCTTGGCCAGCTTGGCTGCAGACAGCACAGCCTGGGAGTGGCTCCCGTCCGGCCCGGCGCTGCCACACGGCCTTGGTGGGGACCTCAGGTGTCTCAGAGCTGCAGTGCTCCAGGCTCAGCCCCTCCTGGGCAAACTGGGGAGACGCAGCCCTGTGGGGGTGGGGGATGGGACAGCCCCGGGAGCTGAGGCAGGAGGCCAGGCCGTGAGGCAGGTGACCCGGAACATTGAGCCGCAGCCGCCTCTGGTATTGGTGTTTGCAAATGCAGCGGCTTGGGGCCCCTGCCACCCTGTGTTCCCTTCTGGCTGCACTCCAGCCAGGAGTCTTCTACAGGAAGCATCTGAGGCCTGATTCCAGGAGGCCTGAGGGCACAGGCCAGGACCGGGTGCCTGACCTGGTCTCTCTGCTAATGGGGCCCACGTCCGGCCCTTTCTGTCCGTGTGAAAATGGCTACAGCCCCTCCCACCTCCCAAAGCCCCTCAGAAGTTGCCGGCTCAGGATGGAGCTGTCACACATTCCATTTTATAGGTGAGAAGACCAGGGCCCCTAGGGTCACCTAGCACGTCCAGCACTAGCTCGGAACCAGGGCCTCCAGACTCCAAACTCCCCGCTCGCTGAACCTGCCGGGGCTGGGCTTCTGGCAGGGAGTGGGTGGGCATTTGGAGATACCTACAAGTTCCAGCTCCTGCCCAGGATCCTAGTGCGGAAACCCCACCTGAAGCCGAGCCGGCCTCCGACCTCCTCTGTGGCCCGTGAGCCCAGCCCCCAACCAGCTCTCCCCACCAGGCAGGAGCCCAGTCCCCAAGGCCCTTGGGACCCTGCCCCAGGCTGTGCAGCCACCACCCAGTCAGTCCCACAGGATGGGCCCCCTCATGGTGCCCCAGCCCCTCCATAGCCACGGCCACTTGGAGGCCAGACTCCTGGCCTCCTCCCAGCAGCCTCCTTGGTCCCCAGCCAGGAAGGTAAACACCTCCCCGACAAACCACCTGTCCAAGACTCGACAGGACCCCCCATCGCAGACCAGTGCAAGTGGGGACCTCCTGAACCAGGCCAGGGTCAGGGTCCTGCCATGGCACCTCAGAGTCCCTGCTGCCCCACCCGGTGCCACAACTTGCACAGAAGCCACCACAGTCCTGCCTTTCACCGCCCCACAGACATGTTTTCTGCTCTTTGCTTCTGAAGGTGACAGCCCTGACCCAATGCTGCAAATCCAGCACTTTGAGCTTTTCTACATAGAAGGGAGGACAGGGCAGGGCCTGGGGCCTGGGATCAGGTGGCACAGAACCTGCCTTGCCTCCTGACTTTCTCAGTGTGGGTGCTGGACTCAGGCAGGGCCAGGACACACGCGGCCAGTGTGCAAAACTGATGGCAGCCCTCGCGGCTCATCGAGGCTCCCCCGGCCCGCAGGCCACCTCCAGGCCCGCCTCCTCCCAGGCACAAGTGCTCCTTCAGGCTGGCCCTCCCCTCTGTCGCTGAGTGTGACGGCCGAGGCTCAGAGCGCCCCCCACCCCACCCGGCACCTACCACGTCAATGAGCTGTGCGATGGACAGGCCGAAGTGGACAAGAACTACATCCGAGATGTTGGCCACGGGCCGGGACCACTTGTTGTATCCAAAGAAGAGTTTCTTCAGCAGCCGTTCCTCTGCTTGGGCCCGGGTCTCCACGTGGCTGCTCACTGCAGGGACAAGCAGCTCAGGAGCAGGGGACAGTGGCCATCCAGGCTGCCCTCTCTTGCCTCCTGCCAGGCCATGCTCAGCACCTGGGCCTACTTCCACGTCCTCACTACACATTCCTCCTACCTCAGGACCTTTGCACATGCTGCCCTATTTCCAGCCTCAGTCTCTCCTCTACCCCCTGGGTTTGTAAGTGTCACTTCCCCAGAGAAGCCTTCCTAGCACACTGCCTCTCACCATGAAAGCAAACAATTGATGAGATAAGGGCTGATTCGGAAGTCTCCCCATCATACTGTGATTGCAGAGGGAAGGGCTGTATCTCCAGCTGCTAGCAGAGTGCTGAGAACCTCGCCTCAAAGCACAAGGTGGGGATACCCACAGGGCACAAGGGGATGGAGGGTAGCAGGGGCAGGCCCAGGCAGGGCGATGGAGGAAGGGGAGGGAGGGTCCAGCCGCAGAGAGTCTGGTGCCTGTGGCTGCAGAAACCCCAAGCTATCACCAAGGAAGAACCGTGCCTTGACACCTAAGGGGCATTTCAAGTGCAGACTCTGGCAGTGAATCTGGCATCTGTGTTCCTGGACAGACACACAGCCTGCCTGTGATGACCAGGTCTGGAGTAAACCTAGGGGAGGCCCCCCTCACTCAGTCCAGCCCATCGGCCAATTTGTCATCTGAGGACTTCCTGTTGTCCTGGGCACCTGCACTGGGGCCACTGCATGGAGAGGGTTAGAGGAGGGGACGGGAGACCCCAGCTTCCCTGCTCCTCTGAACTCCACCTTGCTCACCTGTGAATCGCAGACAGGACCTGAGGAGGGGTTCACAAGCACCCCTGGGGTCAGTCCCAGAGCCCCAAGACCCCTCACTCCCAGCCCCAAGTCCCACCTTGTTCTTCCTGGTCCCTCTGGTAGGAGGTGCGGCCCACTCCTCACTGGGGAGCCGGAGGGTTAAATTTCCTCCACTAACCCTAAATAGCAAGGCGGCCTCCCAGGGGATGGGGGAGGGAGGCTGGAACTTCCCCTGTCCCAGTGAGCCTGGGGAGCAGAAAAGGTGCAGGTGGGACCCTGCTAAGGGCAGAAGCCGCGAGGCTGATCCCCCAAACCAGAGGGCGGGGGGAGCAGGCATGGGGGAGTCTTCAGGAGAAATTGGCAGAATGGATAAATTGGGGCGGGGGCAAGATAGGCCCCACCACTCCCCATCCAAGTTGGATCTTCTGGGTCCATCTCCTGAAACAGCATCCCCCCACATCCACCCAAACCCCTCTCCCTGAATTCACAAGCGAGTTAATTCCTTCCCTGCCTGGGTCAGCCCATGCCCCAGGAGTCTGCGTCTAGGCTGGGGGAGCCTCCGTGGCTGCCCCATTGCGCGCACCCGCAGCTTGGGACCGCAGCCAGGAGCCTCCCTTCCTCTGGCTCCAGAGGTCTGAGGCCGCCCTGAACGGGGCAAAAAGGCGTCCGTTCTGTGCCCCGAAACTCACCGGGCAGAAGGCAGGCCCCCAGAAGCAGCAGCAGCGGCGGCGGCAGAGGCAGCGGCGGCGCCCCCGGTCCCCCGAGCTCCATGGCGCACGGAGCCGGCTCTACATGCGGACGGCTCCCGGCTACCTCGCGCCCCTGCGTGGGGCTCCCCGAGCTCCGTGCGCGCCCAACTTCATGTCCCCCGGGCCGCGCGGGCCGCTCCGTCCGCCGGGCCTGGCTCGGCCGCTCCTCCTGCCTGGCGCGGCGGCGGCTGCCCGGCCAGGAGCGAGGGGCTGTGGGCTCAGCGGCGCGGCCCCGCCCGGACCTGCCCGCCTCCAGCCGGCGAGGAGGAGGGGGAGGAGGGAAAGGAGGAGGGAGCAGGAGGGAGGGCGAGGACCGGAGGGGAGGAGGAGGGGGGACGGACCGCGAGCCGAGACGGGGCGCGGAGGCTGCGCTTGGCCCGCGCAGGGCAAAGTTTCCTTCGACCTCCCTAGGCTGGGGACGTGCCCGAGCCATGGGCGGGGACCACGTAATCACTGCGTGCTGCTGGGGGATCCCAGCGCGGAGTGGTTTGAGGATCCGGAGACACTGACCCCCGCCCCAGCCCCGCGCCCCGCCACCTTCCGGGAGGGAGGACGAACACCGAGGGACTCCGGGAGCGGGGCGGGGCTCCTGCAACGGTCTGGTTAACTTCGTCACCCCCACCCGGCTTTGCAATTTGGAAATTACCAGTCCCTCATGGTCTTCTCCAGCGAGGCCTTTAGGACAGAGCCCACCCGCTATCAGCCTGTTCCCGGCGGACCACCGGGAAGCGTCCAGGGGAGCCTAGGCCCCGCGGCCCACCTTTCCTGGGCAAGGGAGGACCCTAACCCCCCCGCCCAGGGCGAAGCCGCCTCTTGCTGCCTCCGGGTCTGGCCTGGGCCAGGGTCCGCTGCCCCCACCTCTGCGCAGCCTGCGAGCCGGTGGGCTGCGCCAGCGTGAGCGCAGACCCCATCCCACGCGCGGTGGGCAGCGGCTGAGGGGCGGCCGCGGAAGGCCTCGGGCCCAGGTGACTGGAGGATAGACCCGCGGCGCCTCCGGACTAGTCTTGAACAGTATCAGCCGCGCGCGGTGACCTGGCAGGGGCTCCGCCCTCAGGTGGGTCGAGGTAGCCGCTGACCGAGCAGCAGGTGCTCAGAGGAGGGGGCGGGAGGGGCAGCTTTGTGCGGATGGAGCCACAGTCTGCGGTGCTCACAGGGCGCCACTCGGCGGGAACGTGGCACTCGCAACCATCCCTGCGCGCCTCCGGTGGGGAGCTCTGCAGGGGGACCAAGCCCAAAAGGGAGACTTCGGGTCTGGAATGCGGGTAGAGAAGCAGGGGCTGGAGCCATCGCCTCCTCAGCAGCTTCCATCAGCGATGCCCCTGCCCCTCCTTGTCTCCCCAGCTCCTGGCCCTCCCAGCTGGTCTCTCCTCCTTCTCCCTGCTCCCATCTCCCTGCCCTCCCCATCTCCCTCTCCTCCCCATCTCCCTGCCCCCCCATCTCCCTCCCCTCCCCACCTCCCTGCCCCTCCTCCAGTGCTCCTGCACTCTGGCCCCAGGTCTAGCTCATCACACCTCACACACAATCGCTCTGAGGCCTCTAGGGCTCTGCTCACAGGAGCTCTCTGTCCACTCTTGGAGGTACCTACAAATAGAGCTTTCAAAATGCTTGGTCCTGAGCAGTGCCCAGTCTCAACAGTGAAGGTGGGTCACTCCCTGTCCAAGTTGCTGGCCCAGGCCATTGAGCCACGTGGATGCAGCTCCCACAGCATCCCTGTGAGGTGGGCTCTTTTGTTACCCATGGGGCCCAATGAGGAAATGGACGGACAGAGGGGTTATGCCACCTGCCAAGGTGATGCATTTAGTACCGGGGTTCCAGCTGGGCCGTCTGGCCTCAGGGTCTGCACCCTGACCCCTCCAGACTGAGGGAGAGCATGTCCTGGCCTGTGCCTCTACAGATTTAACCTGGTGCCACTCTACAGTCTGCCCTTTCCTGGAGCCAGGAGGCCTGCCCTGGGGAAGACCACTAGACCACAGGGCCCCAGCCCCTGGCCCTCTCTTGGACCACCCCACAGGCACAGAGCCTGCTCTGGTCTGTGACCTACTTCTGCAGGCAGTCCCCCTCTCACTCCCTCCTTCTTTTCACCCCTACCCCGGTGCCAGATCCTGAGCTCCTCACATTCTTAAGCCCTTTCCCTGAGCCAGATAAGTACCAGGAGCCAGAAGTCCTCTAAGCTGAAAAGTTGGACTGAACCATGAGCTGGTGAACAGGCCCTGCCCACGGCTCAGTGGGTGCAGGGGGGTGAGGAGGGCAACCCCGACCCCCGCGTCTCTCCTGGACCACTCCTCCCCACGCAGCAGGCAAAAGCCTGTCTTCCCCAGGGCCCTTGCCACATGAGGTCCAGAACCTGCCAAGGGCCCTGGCAGGGAAGGGACCAGGCAAGGGGATGAGCCCTGGTGACTCCCTGAGGGGTTCTCTGTCTGTCGTGATGAGAGGGCCCCTGCTCTGCGCTGTCCCAGAGCAGGATGGCACCTGGCTTGCTGGTCGGCTGGATGGATTTGACATTCTTCTCCTAGTGATAAAGGCCGATCACATTCCAGGTCCCATCTGGAGCTTCCTCCAAGGATCTCAGCGTCTCCGTGAAGCGGAGGTCAGCATTACCTTCTCTGGGGAGCTAGGAAGACGAGGTATGAACAGTTGTCACTGGCTGTGATAAGGCAATCCCATCACCCTGTGGCATTCTCCACACATTCCAAATGGGGATGCTCCCTCATACCTCTGCCTCCAGGCTCATCTCTCGGGACTTGTTAAACCTGGGCCCTCCTGCCAATGTTAAAGGCTGGAGTAAGAGGAGAGAGGGGGCCAACCTGTGAAGGCTTCCTGGAGGAAGGGGCATACAGGAATTCAGCCCCGGGGGACTATGGATGTCCACTCATAGCCCTGCACAGGGAATCACCTGGGGAGTCTGCTTAAGTCCCAGACTTTGGCACCCCCACCTCAGGGACTATTCAGCCCCGGCCGAGGCCCCCCTCCACGCAAGCCCAAGGCAGGAGGCCTTAGACTGAGAGCTGAGTTGGCCCAAGGACTCATACAGAGGATCAGGCCAGGCCCCCAGTCCTGGCAGGGCTGGGACCCTGGGGTCCTGGCCTGGGCCGGGTGCTGGCATTTCCCTGGGACAGTGTCTGAACAGGGCTCTCAGCAGGAGCCTGCACCCGCTCACAGGCCAGGTCCACCTGCCTCCCTTCCCTGCACTCTGGTCACAGTGACAGTCGAGAAGATGGCTCTCAACAGCTGTTCCCACAGGAGAGTTCAGCCAGAGAGCCCTGCCTCCCCGTGTCTCCTGGCGCTAGAGGCCAGGCTGGGGTTAGCACCGGCGCTGGAGGCTCCTGCGGACACAGCAGAGCACACGCTCACACACATCTGTCCTGACTTGTTTGGCCTTCCCTGCAGATTTGCTAATGCAGCAAGATTAATTAATTTGCATGGTCGTCCCTCCCCACCTGCGCCCGGCTGAAGAATACTCTTTGCAGGAACCTAATAATCACTGTAGCCACTGAATTAGATTCTTACTCCAGGTCACTAAGCCCCTCCCTCTGGCTGCTCCGGAAACTGCTGCTTCAGAGGAAAGGAAAACCCCCAATTCACAAAGGAGACAAGCTTTAGGGGGCAGCCCCTCCATGTTCCCGTGCTGAGTCCTGGAGCCTTTGTGGCAGGGCTGATGTCCTCTGAGGAGACCTTGGGTGGGGGCCGAGGAGAGGTGGAACAGGCTCCTTGAAGACCCCTCCCCACACGCCCCCCAGCCCGCCTCCCTCCCCCCACGCCCCCAACCCCGCCAATGCCAGGCCGCTGGCTGAAACGGAAATTCATCTCAGCAGGACCGGCCTCCCTCTCCCTCGCTGCCCTCACCACCCTCCACCCTGTCCCAAGGACATTTCCATGGTAACCAGTTGTCGGGATAACCGGGGATTTGAATCAAAGGTGGGAGCTTAGGCTGGGGTGGGGGCGTCAGGAGGCAGACCTGGAAGAGGCAGCAGGGTGGGCCTGGGAGGGGACCCGAGGGGGCTCCTCAGCACCAGGGCCCATTGGGGCTTCAGTGACCCACGTGAGCCCAGGAGCAGGGCTGTGAGCCCAGCCGGCCAGGCACAGGGGTCCTGCCTGTGCCCCTCCCACACGGCCACCGAACCCCACACCCTCAGGCTGAGAGGCCCAGATGTTTGGGGCTGGCCCTGGGCCTTAGGCAGATGCTACCTAGGAGGGAGGAGTGACAGCCATGCTGGGTCAGCAAGGGCATGGACGGTGGGACCTGGGGAGGTTTCAGAGGCTGTCACTTCCTCCTCATCCTTTCCCATCATCCGTCAGGAATGGAGCTGGAGCGAATTTAGTGCTGTTGCCTCCCTGGGCCTGGCAGGACCACCCTACCCTCCCTTGGGTCGGGGGTCATGCCCACCCCTGAAGCACACCCTCAGCCGGTCCTGTGGTGGGACCCCCCACCCCATGCTCAGGGGACCCCGCCACCCCCGAGCCCCAGGCTGGCTCAGGCTGCCCTCTCTCTGGGGCTGTTAGGAAGATCCTGGCCTGGCCTTGGGATCGAATCCCTCAGCAGGAGTCCTGGTCCAGCACACACTACCAGTGAGGCCCCAAGGGAGAAGCACTGTGTCTAGTCCTCAGGTCACCCTGACCACTACATGGGAACAAGTATTGTCCTGGGCCAGAGGACTCCTGGGCCACCTACCCAGGCTGGCCCCCTCCCAGATCTCCCAGCGGCCTCCCTGCTCTCAGCACCACGGACAGCTCCCCCGCTCCACCACTCCAGCCTCCTGCGACCAAATGCCTTCCCTGGGCCTCTTGGGAGGAAGCCCATCTTTGAGTTCCTGTCTTTGCCCATTTCTTTTAGCAAAAGTTTTGAGAGCCACCAAGTGCAGGAGGAATGTGAGAACTGGGGCCATTTCTCCAAAGAGGACGTGTGCTGGTCGTTCCCCATTTGCAGATGCTTCCAGCCAGGCCCCTTATATAGATGTCCCTGCTGCCCAGCTGGTGGCCACAGAGATGCTGCGATGAGGGGTGGGTGGGGGAGAGGGTGGCTGCGAGGCCTCGCGATCTAAAAATCATCAAATGCTTTGCTTGCAGGGGGAGGGAGAGTGGACAGTAGCTCAGAGGAAGCAAAGAGCTGGCCCTCCCCAAGTCACTGGCAATTCATCCTCCAAGGTCTAGACTTAAGCCATGAACCGGAGCTGTGCTGTGCCAAGCTCAGGGCCTGCTGCCCCAGCAGCTTTCCTCCTGGCCAGCGTCCTTGACGTCCCACAGCCCTGGCCTGGAGGAATGTGCTGTCTACAGCCAGGGCTGCTCACAGGGGCCCTTCCTGCCAGGGCTGTGCAGGGCCCCCCCACCTGGAGCCAGTCTGGCTGGGGCTCAGCCCTGCTCCCCGAACGTCAAGAGCACCCAGCCACAGCGGGGCTTTGTCCTCCGACACCAGGCAGCACCTTTTTAGAAGGTATTGATCTGCCTCTGGCCGGCCTCCATTTTCACAGCTCCACGCGCCTCCGCCCCGCCCCCCACCTCTGCTCACCAGTTAATTATCTGTAAACACGCTCCTGAGGAGGGCAAAACGCTCTGCAGGGTGAGGAAGCGGCTGGGGAGGTGAGCTCCCTGGCCCTCGAGTCTGTTCCCAGGTCTTCCTTCCACTGGCCCAGCCAGCACGTGGGCGCCTAGGTGGCCCTGCCAGCAGCACCTCTCTGAGCCTCCATTTCCCTAGCTGTTACATGAGGTAGTAACTGTCCCAGGTCATGGGGTGGGTGTGTTGGGGGGCTGGCTGGTTTCTGGCATCTGCTGCTAAAATTACTCTCAATAACCTCTTGACAATAGCTTATCTCTCAGGGGAGGGTCCTGTGCCGAAAGCTGAGAGCTAGAAGAGGGGTCACAACTCAGGTGCCCAGAGTCCCAGAGGGGTCACAACTCAGGTGCCCAGAGTCCCAGTTCAGGGCCCCCGGGGCCAGGCCAGCTGCGGTGCAGACACAGGGCCTTCTCCTTGCCACCTGTGGGCCCTGCCACCTGCCCCAGGGCCTGCAGAGTGTCCCAGGGCATCCCTCCCGATTCGGGGACTGAGGACCCCCACACGGGGCTCCGCCCCCCGTGGCCTAACCCAGCACCAGAGCAGCAGGTCTCCGGACGCCTGCCGGCCCCTCTGGCAGCCGCCCCAGAGGCAGACGTTAGGCTGTTTGTGAAGAATTATGTCCGGACAGGCCTTGGGCACAGAAAAGCCCTTTGTCCCAGCCGGCTGGCCACCTGAGCCCTCCGGCCATCTGGAGGATCAATATGGCTCCAGCCTGGAAGACCGGAGGGTCAGCGTCCCTCAGAGGAGGGGTCAGAGAGGGAGGACAGGGCCATGCTGAGTCGCTCTTCTGTGGACGGAGGGCAGCACCAGTGGGGGACTTAGTGACCTTCCAAGGGGAATGCTGAGCCCTCCTGGAAAGTCCTCCTCTTTCTCCTTCACCTCTGAGTCACCTCACCCTCCCTCGGGGTCCCTGAACCTGACCCCTGCAGAGACGGGAGACCCTGCGGCCGGCCAGGCGCCCCTGAGCCAGTGCCAGTGCCTTCCCAGGGCTCCTCCTGCAGGATGCGGCCGGGCCCCAAGCTGCTGCTCCTGTTTGGCTGCCACACGTCTGGACAACCTGACGCTGGCAACCCCGACACCCTGGGACCCGCCCTCTGTGAGCACAGCAGTGCATGTGGGGAGGCTGGCCTGAAATCTCTGGTCGGGTGTCCGTCTCCCCCACCAGATCTAGAGCCCCTCAAGGCAGGTGGCTGCAGGACATCCCGGAGGAGGCACTGGGCAGGCATCCAGGCTGTCCTGCTCAGACCACTCTTGGCCGCTGCCCAGGGACCTCCAGGGCATGGAGGAGCCCCTCCTGGGGGTGGAAATCAGCCCTTGTGCCTCAGAAACTGGCCCCACTGAGGGAGGAGCGAACAGGCTGAGTTCACGCCTTCTGTGGCCCTGGACCTGGCCTGCTCTGCCCAGTTCCAGCCCCGTCTCTGTGGCCAGCTGTCCTGCCCAGGAGGGAACCCGGCAGGGAAGGCAGAACCTGGACATCCAGCAGCCCGCCTGCATCCCGGGAAGGGGGCACTGCGACAGGCACTCCAGTCCCCAGGCCCAGGGCTGATTCCAGAGAGTGGAGGCTCCCTGAGCCAGCGGCTGGACGTTCAAATCAGCACCCTCCTGGGGAAGCGTGTGGGGCAGGCCCTCCTCAGGCGTGCTCGGTGTCCTCCACCCTGCGGGGGAGGCCGCTCCTGCACCATGGCCTGCAGCTCAGGAGCCTTCAGCAAACCAGGGCGCCGCTCCCCGTGCTGGCTGGAGGACACCCATGGAGGAGGCTGCTGACCCTGTCCTCGTGGGACACCCAGGCGCTCGAGATGCACCTCTACCAGGTCCTGGAGGCTCTGCAGGACTCCAGGTCTCGGCCCTTACTGACCACCAGCTGGTTTAGACCCAACACAGGTGCCTGTGCGGTCTGCCCTCCGCCCTGCGGGGGAGGGGAGGAGCACTGCTCCTCCGGGCCTCTGAGCCCATCTCTTCAGGGCTGGAGAGGTGGGGAGAAAGGGGGCTCATTTGCAGCGTTGGGTGCTTATCAATTTACTGCATGTTCTAATGTCTGCTGTACCAGATCAATGGTGACCACATCCAGGGTGTCCCTATTACCCTGTCACTCCCACAAAGACACAGCTGGGGTCATTCGGCCAAGGAGGGGGCCGGGCCACCGGACCCCGAGTCCAAGGCCCTCCACAGCGTCACAGCTCCTCGACACCCCTTTTCCCAGAATCCCATGTCCCTGTCAGTCAAGCCTTGTGCTGCCCCAGCTCACCGTCCTCCCAGGATGTGTCAGGGGCTGAATGCTCGGGAGGGCTCGGGGGACCCAGCTCTGCTTCCTGTTGACAAAGGCACGTCTGCAAATAGCTCCTTTCAGTTCCAAAGCCCAGGAGGCGGGAGCCAACACAGCAGCGCCAGCCCGGCCCCCGCTACCTGGGCAAGGCTGCAGGCTCATGAGTATTCGCAGCGGCTTCCCAGTTATCTCGAATTAAGCCAACCCAGCTTGCCTTGCAGGCTCCAGTCCCTCCACTTTCTGCCCCCTCTCCGCGACCTTCCTTTTCCTCCCAGTCCCTCGAGACGTGGCGGGCGGGGGCTGCCTCAGCCTCACTCCCCGTGCCTGGGCAGGGCCAGTATCTGGGCTGTCCTGGTGCCAGCACCCCATTCCAGCTCATTCTCTCCAGCACTTGACACGTCCCTGGCCTGTTCTCAGGGAGGCCCTGGACCTTGTCCCAGTCCCGGGTGGAGATAATTACCCTGACGTCCGTTTGCAGAGTTTAAATACGTTTTCTCAGCATCGAAAACATAGATTTGGCTGTGGCGCTTTATGGGGGTAGGGGGTTGCATCCTTGTTTGGCCCAGCCCCACGGGACAGCGTCTCCACCACTGAGGGGCTCGGCGGCTCCTTCTACTCCAGCAACCAGCGCCGAGCGCGGCATGGACCGCACGTACCTGGGACCTGGTTCTCAGAATCTGCCCTGGGGGAGGGTCGCCCCTGCCCCCACGAGCCCTGTGCTGGCCCTTCCTGCTGCCATGCCTGCAGGCTCCTTCCAGGGGCAGGGGGCTGGGGCACCAGGAGGCAGGAGGGAGCCTGCCCTAGACTCCCCACCTGTGCGGAGGTGCTGCAGAGTGATGCAGGTTTGGAAGGTCTGGAAGGTTTGAAAGCCCCCGTCCTGACCTCACTCAGAGCAGCAGCATCCGTCTCTGTAAAAACAGCCTCACGGGCGCCGGAGCTGAGGTGAGCTGGCCACACAGCAGGAATGCAGGACCCTCAGAACAGGCTGCCATCTGGCCGCCAGGAACCCAGGGAGCCATTGCCCTGCAAACATCCCACTCCACCCAGCAAACCCCTCCTGGAACATGGCAGGCCCCCGTGGAAGCTGGAAGATGCAGGCCCCGCACCTTTGCCCTCAGGCGGCTGCCACTGTGATGCAGGCCGGGTGAGGGGGGTACCGCCGGGGTCCCCCCAGGTCCAGGACATGGCGTCTCACATCACTGCTGGGCTCCTCCGGCCCAGGAGGGACGGTCAGATAGCAGTTGTACAGTTGGGCCAGGGTCTGTCTCCACACACCCTGGGCCTGGAATCAGGGAGTCACCCCGCAACCCCCTGCTTCCCTGATGGTCACCTTCATGGAGTGACCAGCATGGGCAGAGCTCATGGTGAGGTGAGCCCGAGCACTCTCTGACCCCACTGGCCAGGCAGCCTCTCCTCCAACGGCCCTGACAGCCCCTCATCCCCACACCCCATCCAGTGGGGCCTGCACCCCATTTCCGCAGACCCTGCTTGGGCTGAGAGGGGTGCATCTACCTTTAAGGTCACGGGCGAGGAGACCACAGCCACGTGCTGACCGCAGCCCTCGTCCATCCTCCAGCGAGATCTGCCTCCCAGAGCAGCCCCAGGTCCCCAGACCCTCAAGCATGGCCCCCGCCCCAGCAGCCTCCTCCTGCTGCAGACCCGACCTCAGCTGCGCCCGTGCAGGAAGCACTGCGTCCCAGCCACCATCTCCTGAGGCCTTCTTGCTGTCTCATCTCTGCCCGCTGCTGACCCGCACTGGCTCACTGAAGCCACTGACCGCATCTGGATAGGCCTGTCTGGAGGCACGTACATGTCCCTGTCTGTCCTCTGCTCCTGCCAGCACGTGCAGCCCCACTCCCTCCCGGAGACCCCTGTTGCTGCCTCCCTCTCTGTGGGCGCAGCCTGGTGGGGGAGAGGGAAACTGAAAAGAGCCCGTCTTCAGAATCAGGCCTGAGAGCGACTCCAGGGAGATGAGGGACAGGCTGGGCAGACGCTAGCCAAGGGCTGGACAGGCTGGGCAGGGGCTCCGCCAGGGAGAGCCTGGGGTCTAAAGGCCGAGGCCACCACAAGGTCCAGGGCTCAGGGAGAGGCCTGCCCTCCCCACTTTGGGCAAATCCTTTCAGCTTCCAGTGGAGGCATCACCGCAGGCCCATGGCTGGCCTTTCAGTGGTGACCACAGCAGGGGAGGGAGGGCTCGCCAGGCTCCAGAACTTAGAACCTCAAGGGTCGGGCGAATCCACAGTTTTGCTTGTTAAAGCCAAAAGACCTTTCAAAATTCAGGTCCAGAGGAAGGGCCCGCCACGTGTCCATCCCCCTGTTCCCTGGAATTAGGGGTCGCCAGGTTCTCAGGCTGCACACCTGAAGGACGTGGAGAGACCCAGAGCCCTGCAGGTGGGAGGTGCAGGCTGGAGGTGGGTTTCTGAGCCCAAGAGCTCAGGCCCAGGCCTCCCCAGAGGAGGAGCTCCCTGTCTGTCCTCCTCCAAGTCAAACTTCCGCCCAAGGAAGCAGACCTGGAGCAGGTGCTGCCAGGGCAAGGGTGGGGTAGGGGCGGGGCCCCAGGGCAGGCCACACCCCTCCTCCCTGGCAGCCCACCCTCTCCTTGGAGCTGAATCCTCAGCCGTGCACAGTTAGGGCATTAGGTCACAGCAGCCCCTGCCTCCCCACCCGGACACAACCAGAGGCTGAGCAGGGCGCCCCACTCCAGGCCGCTCTGGTCCCACTTCTCCCCGCCTGCCTCTCCGCTGGGGACCCACCCCCCAGGCCAGCTCAGATGGACACAGGTGGGCACTGCAGGCCACATGTTTTGAGCCCAGGAGGAAAGACCAGCTCCTGGGCCTCACCCCACAGACCACCCGTGGGCCAGAGGTGGAGCCTGGGAGATACAGATTTAAAGGAAACACCCAGGGTGGTGCCAAGGGAGAGACGTCAGCACCATAGCCGAGACCACTGTCCCCGAGGCCCAGGTTCGAGTCCAGCCCTCAGAGAAAGGTAACCCAGGCTGAGCTCCCTCATTAGCAGCCTGGGCTGAAAGCTGTGCTTAGCCCTCGACTCACCCTGCGTGCTCTGCAGCCGGTGCCCCCCCAGGGTCCTGCCATCCACCCAGCGTCACCCTTAGCAGGAACAGCGTCAGAACCAGCCCAGGTGCAGGACTGCGTGAGCCAGACACCCACAGGCGGCTAGGGGGGGCCTTTCTGGACGAGCGACCTTTGGTCAAACACGTTTGTGGATCCTGACTGAAGAAATCAGCGCTTTCCTTCGACCAGACGTCTCAGAGCTGCCACCCTGCTGAGCTCCTCGTGACCCCCGCCCCGGCTGTGGTCTGCATGCCACCCATGCTAATGGGAATGCAGAGCTGGGGCCGTGGGGCCACGGAGTCCCCTCGGAAGGGGCTGGACGTTGAGGCTGTGATAACAGTGGGTCTGGTTCTGCCCCGGATCCAGGAGGCACATCATGGGCCTAGGACTCCTGGGGCCCCCAGGCCAAGACTTCTCCAGGGTCCAAGGAGGGCTCCAGGCTCTGGTCCCCACACATCCGCCAGCACCTGCGCTGCGCTCTCAGCCACCCCTCCTCATGTCCCCCCCCTCCCCCTTAGAAGCGGTCCTCAAAATGTGAAATTTGGGTGTTCCACCCAGCCAGCTTCCCCATGCGTTCTGCAAGGGCCGGCAGAGGAGGCAGTGCTGGCCTGGGGCCCCGCCCAGGCCCCATCTCAGCCCCGCTTCTATCGCGGGCCCCCAGCCCGCCCAGCTCCGCATTGGATGGGATGGCGTGAGCATCACCCTAACCTCCCGAGACTCGGATCTTGGGAGGACACCGCCCCCGCCCAGAGTAAGGAGGCCCGGGGCCTGGCCTGGAGGAGGCAACCTTGGGTGACCTTGCCCGCGAAGGCCTGGGGGTCTGGCTCCTCTCGCACTGTTATGATTTAAAGCTGATGGGTCAGGGCAGAGAAGGACAACACGGGAAGGTCAGAGGCGGCACCTTCGGTGGGAACGTTCAGTCACCCTCCACAGTCTGCGAGTGCACTGTGTCCGGGGAGCAGACGGAGCGCAGCCCTGGGGACAGGCCCCGGGCCCGGGGGGGCTGGACAGACATCAGGGAGCTGGGGTCCTGGCAGGGAGGGCACCGGCCCGGGGGTGTCTCCGCAGGGTCCCAGCCCACAGAGCTTACAAACGGTCCACTTGAGCACAAAGAGGCCCCTCCCAGGCTCTCCCCCAGACCACCACAGCCCTGTCCAGGTGCTCTGGGGCCCTGCCCCCTTTAAACAGGGCAAAGCTACAAAGGATGCTTGCCTTTTGAAACCAGGTGGTGGGCAGGGCCAGGGGCAGGTGCGGGCTCCCCCTGCCCGTTACCACGGCAGTCCTGCGAGATGACCCCAGGCTGTTCCTGGGGAGGTGCGTTCCCCACCTTCGACCTGTGGGCTGAGGCCGCCGTGATGAGAGTCTCTGCTCCAACTACAGCGGGACGGCTGCCTCTTCCCTGGCGTCTGCCAGGGGCCCGCGCAGGCCAGGATGTGGCAGGGCGCTCCATGAGGCTGCGCCTGAAAGGGCCCTGCCCCACTGGCCCGGGGTGAGCTGGCAGGGCTTCGGCAGGGTAACGAAGCACCTCGAGTGCAGGGAGCTCGTGTGCTCGC